GTTGTGCAAGGTTGGCATGGCCTGGGGTGGTAGTGCCCCAATGTGAAACTCGGTTTCCCTGCTATGCTCCCAAATCTTTTTTGATTTTGTACAGAGTATTTGAATGGTGTACCAGGACCACCAGGTCCAGGTTATTTAGACATAGGAACTATTCTTCTTGGTTAGAACTTTCATAATCCTCTACAGTTTATTTTACTTCTACAAAATAATTAAATGCAACTGATTTACTTTTTGATTTACTTTTATTTATTTAATTATTTTTATTTAAACTTTTATTTTTTTTACTTTGAGAGGTTGCAAGGACTTTGTTTCCTTTCCTGTGCAGTCTCTACAACCACACCTGCTCCAACATCACCAAGTTCTACAGTTCAACTAAAAACGGTCCGTGTTCCTAAAACCACCCCAAGTCCAACACCAACAAGTTCTACAACTCAGCCAGAAACTGACACCACAGTTACACTTCCTACAACCACACCTACTCCAACAACAACAACTTCTCCATTGAGACTTGTCAGCTAAGCTGTTCTGGAAGAGTGGAGATCTACAACAGCCAGTGGGTGACGGTGTGTGACAAGGGCTGGGGACTCAATGATGCTTAGGTGGTTTGTCGACAGCTGGGATGTGGTAGGGCTGTATCAGCGCCAAAGAAAGCACATTTTGGACAAGGCAGTGGACCGATTTGGGTCAATAACCTTCAGTGTTCATGAGTCATCAGTAACTGACTGTGTAAATCAGGGAATGGGCTCCCACGACTGTCATCGTGGAGAGGGTGCTAGTGTCATCTGTGAAGGTAAACATGTATACAATCAATTTAACCTTTTAGTTTGTTAGTTTTAGGTTTAGGTTCGGATATTTTATACAATGAGATCAAAGTTTATCCAAATTACTTCCACTTTATTTTTTTGCTTTAGAAGAGCAACCTCTATAGGCTGCTGAGCTTGTTTGTTCCTGTAATCAGCTTGAAATTGGTGTGCATTTGGGCAGCCTGGTTTGAACGCATTCTCTGGTCACTTGGCAGCCCCTTACTGTTCCCAATACAGAGTGCATAACAACACCACGGCAGGCTGGCATCTGTGGAAATGTACTGATGGTGAGATTAACTTTTTTTTTTAACTTCATTATTTGTTTAATAAGCCTATTGATAGGCACAGATGTTTTGCTCTAGATGAAACTCAATGCGCCTTTGTGTTAATTTGCAGGCAAATTCATGTTTTATTGCATATTTCCATCAACTTCACAATTGAACATAATATGCATAACTATGTTTTCATTAGTGTAAAATCATCATGAAAATAAGAATTGTGTTTTTTTGTTACCTTCGAACGAGCCGTTTATAACAGGCGGAGTGGCTTCTCTTCTGCAGGGTCCGCCATGTTGAACCGCCATGTTCCAGATAGGAGCCTTTTCTGCGAGTTTTGCAGCCACTGTAGTTACAAACTACATGCTTGCAATGGGAGGGTGAGGCAAAGAGGGGTGTAATCTGCAACTACACTGCTAGATGCCTCCTATCACATGCTGATTTGTACTTAAACTCAAGATGACCTGATTATACAGCTGACCGGTCATTCATTTAGGCTTATTCTTTCAGACCAACAACACCCATGCCATCTACTCCAACTGTTTGTTTTTCTACCCTCCAAGCACTGATGCTTTGGTTCAACCTGAGATTATTCCATTCTCCTGTACCTATCCCTTGGAAGCCAATAACATCCTGAATACTATTACCATTATTGTGTGTCAGTGGCTGAGAACGGCCTGTCTCTCCGTGCTCGTTTCTCTGCCCTGGTTTTTCCTTTCAAGGGTGACAACCCAAGCATTCACTGCAGGCTATGGATGTGTGACAAGAGGAGCAAAAACTGTGTTCCAGTGATTCAGACACTCATCCTCTCACTTATTTCAAGGAATCAATCACTAATCAATGCTTTATAGCCAAACACTGGGTATTGGTCTCTCATCATTTAACCTTCTCTTACCCTACAGTTTTGCAGAAGGAGGGCATATCGCTCTGTTCCCAACACAGCCGAGCTCGAGCCCATCACCATTGGACCAATCACCTGTGAGTATAAAATACAATCTGTATCACAGTGGATGTCTATGCACTGTGTGGAAGTCATAACCTGGTTTCTTTTTTCTTTCTTGTTTTGTCCTTACGGGAGAGTTGACAAGGTGGTGTACTGAGCTGAGAGCCACTTTCAAATTATGCACACACATTTTTTCACATATTGTATGGTTTAATCATTTAATCACACACTTAATATCAATCAATATCAATATCAGTATCATCGCTATTAATACAGTATGTAGGATATTCTCAATTTTGGGTCTGTTTAAGCTTGTTAGCAATAATGCTGTTTTCTCTCTCAGCCAGGATTATTTATCTTAGGAAGGGAATGGTACTAAGTAAAGCTGTCAGACAAATGTAAAAAAGTAAAATATTTCCCTCTGAGATGTAGTGGAGTAAAAGTATAAAGCTGCCTAAAATGGAAATACCCAAGTAAAGTAAAAGTACCTACCAGTACTTTGATTGTTTGAAGTATTCTTACCCTAGCAGAGACTACCCCCATGTGGACTGACAGTTGTACTGCATGCTTGGACTTGACAGTGTAAAACTCCCATATTATATATCGAACAAGGCTAAAGAAGTACATTTTAAAATACTGCATAATATATACCCAGTTAGTAGTATTATTGCTAAGTTTATAGATGTTGATGATTCCTGTGCTTTTTGTAATCTTAATACAGAAAC